TCACCGTTACCTTATTCAGCTCCTAGTAATCTACACACATCCGATACGAACCGTCCTTCTTCTTCATAAATAGAATCGGGGCTCCCCATAGTGAACTTCTCGGTCTAATGAATCCCTTGCCTAACAGCTCCTGCAGCCATGTAGACAATTCCTGCATCTTAGGAGGAGCCAATCGATACGGTGCCTTGGCAATCAGAGCTGCACCAGGGACTAGGTCGATCCTGAACTCTACCTGGCTCTCCGGAGGTATCCCAGGAAACTCCTCTAGAAATACATATGTGTACTCTCGTACCACCGGCATATCACTCACCATCCCCCCACCCGTCTCCCAGGTATCTAAGATATAGGAGACATACCCTGTGTACCCTTGCTAGAGATAATGCCTAGCTCTCGCTGCTAAACATAAAGCTGGCCCACGCTGTGGCCTCTCACCCTGAATCACCAGCTCTCCCCCACTTAGGTTCGTAACCCGGACCAACTGTTGCGCGCAGTCGATCACTGCCCCATTGGGACTCAACCAATCCATACCTATAATAACCTTGTTCCCCCGCAATGGTATGAGACCCAAGTCTACCAAGTAGCGCTCTTCGAACAAACTCAAAACACAATCCCTGAAAACCTCCGCTACTCAAATTGATCGGTCATCCGCAATCTCGACCTCTAGGGACAATCCAATATGCCTGAAGACTCAGAGAACCTCTTGCTAAGCGGAAGAGAGACAAATTATCGGGTAGCACCCGAATCGAACAACACCTGAACTGGGATACTGTTCACATGGAACAATCCTAAACAAACATATAACATGGCATATCACTATCACAAGTGACATATAATAAAAGTTAGAGAGAAGAAACCATACCCGTCACCACATCGGGTGCGGCACGTGCCTCCTCAGTTGTCAACCGGAAAGCTCGGATCCTCACCACTGGAGCCTCTGGCTTGACCTTCCGGCCATCCATAACCTGTGTAGTTGTTGGAGTTGGCGCCACCACGGGTGCTGATGTTGCTGCTGCTATTAGCCTAGGGCAGTTGGCCTTTTATGGACCCTCTAATTGCAATGAAAGCAAATAAGTTCTGATGTCTGATCAGTGGGGGCAAGGGCAGTACAGTCCCTGCTAAAATTCCCCATCTTTCAACACTTTTATCATCCTAATGATCCTGCTGTACAAGCTCCCTCATGCGGCCTGCCGCATTTCCTTTAGTGGCTCTGGCCCAGCTAGCCCTTCGACCAAGTGTCGTATCCCTTGGTTTTCTTCTCCAAAACCCATGTAACTTGCTCCATTTTTTCCTTCCTCTTCCTGAGGTGCTCTAAATCAATCTCCCTCTCCCTCACCCTAGGAATCATGGACTCCAGGGTTAGGAAGATTGAGTAGCTGACATGCTCCCGAATATCAGCTCTCAACATATCATGATAGCGGGTCTTCTGCATCTCCTCATCCCTTGTATACTGAGGTACCAACAAGTCCCACTCTCGAAACTTGGCGGTGATCTTTGCCATTGTCTCCGTAGTCTGTCTCATGTCAAGACTCCCTGGCCAGCTGTTAAAGCTCCACAGTTGGCGCAAACTCAGCCCTAAACTTGGTGACAAGGTCTAACCAAGTCATAGCCTCGATGTTTGGGGATCCTAGTGAGTCACCAATTGACTCCTACCAATCCCTATCTCTGTCTCTCAAAAAACGTGCAACAAAGAGGACCTTTGACCCCTCTGGGAGAAGCTCATCAACTGCCCAGACTCGATGTCTACCATCCATCTCCTAGCAGCAATTGGGTCCTTCACCCCCTGAAATTCTAGCGCACCACTCCCCTTGAAGTCCGTGAAATATAGTGTGTGCCTACCCGACTGGCTGGACGCCAAGTCACTCCTGAATGTCCGGAGGCGATCCTCCATCATTTCAATAATCCCCTCCTTGATCGACCCAAAAATGATTGGGGTCACCTCAAGGATACATCTCGTGATCTCAGATGTGATGAGCTCGTGTAGCCCGTCATCAACCTGCTCGGATCCCACACCCGAGCTCGATCCTGATCCTAATCCAGACCCTGAACCTGCAACTCCATTTCGCGTAATCGCCATACTTAAATAAACACATAAACATCAGGGTTATACATACTCTCGAGAGGCCTCACACTCTCTCCAAGTTTCCTGGTTCTATCTTATCCCTCTTTGATTCGAGTACAGATCCTCTATTTCTAGTAGTACGGACCCATACTACCTTCCACATCTATTTATACTTTCCTCAAGGATTGCTTCGACTTCACCAAATCCCTTCTACTAATACTACTTTCCAAACAAATCTCATCCTAGGCTTGTCCTAGGGAAGTCTCCGACCTACTCTCCGCCACCAGCAGCACAAGGAGTCCCTACCATCTTTCCCTAAAAAGCTTGCGAATACTATTACATATTCACTTACTAGTTATTTAAAGCTAGCTAGAACCCCTATAAGGACAAAACAAGCAGCATTCGTGCATTGAGTAACCATTACCAAGCATAACCTAATCAGGATATCATACTACTGACTAACCAGCCTAATCATATAGCTCAATAAACTCATACAACAGGCATATAAGGCATCCTTCCTAGATCCTTAGCCATAATCTAGCATGCAGTTCTCATAATCACATAACAGGCATACAAGGCATCCTCCCTAGATCCTTAGCCCTACTCTAGCATGCAGTTCTCATAATCATATCATATAACATAACATATCATGGATGGGTATCTTGGGAGAAACTTACTTGAGCTCAGCCAGTCGCACGCATCACGCACCGTGTTCTTTCTTAAAACTCCTTATTTTTAAATTTTAGAAAACTATCTTTCTTGTAATAATTCTTCAATCCCTCGATTTGAGTCCAAACACCCCCAAAGGTGTGCCCGAATCCCTCAAACCAAGTCTTTGATACCAACTTGTAACATCCCAAAAATCAAGACCAAACTTTTTTCATTTTTAGTTATATTACTTGTAAAATTGTTTGAGGAAAGCATTATTGATATCACATCAAACCATAAAACCATAGTTACATGTATCAAAACCCATAATGTCAAATAGAATAATTTCATAGTACAATCCTAGGGTTCTCAAATGTGGAATCATGTGTGTGCGATGCGCTGCTACCCTGCCGGCTCCTTCCCCTTAGATGAAGAGGTACCTAAAACCAAAACTAAAAACCGTAAGCACAAAGCTTAGTGAGTTCCCCCATAATACCACATACCATACTATCATACATACATTCAGACAGTTTTAGGGTGACCGACCTACCCATGTCTAGTCATTCTAGGGTGCTGACGTACCCATGTCAAGCCATTCTAGGGTGTTGACCTACCCGTGTCAGGCCATTCTAGTGTGCCTGCCTACCCTCCGGTCTATCTCACCCGGTTACGGCGACTATTTCACCCTTACTACTATCACACAATAATATATCATAATCATACTGTCAGACATATATGGGGTGTCCGACCTACCCTTTGGTCCTAACGACCGAATCGGGGGACTTTTCCCCTCCTACTACCACTAATACACATAACATATCATACTGGCACATAGAATTCATCAAGTAATAGCAAACCAGACAATTATCACAAAGACAATCATCTCAACTATAATCAACTACTAGTAGGTCGGCCTTGGTGCCTTAGACCCACTTCTACTGAAAGGTAACTCACCTCAGTGACGTGTAGTGTCTGCACTGTCCTCAGTATGGAAATCAACTCTTCTCGACTCCTTTATCCCTGCACAACATCCTTTCTAAATTACCATTTCATACTCATAACCTTACAAGGGTCAACTCAAGTCCAAGTCAAAGTTAAGGTCAAAACCTTGGTCAAAGTCAACATCTGGTTGACTAGACTCGCCGAGTTGGTTCACCAACTCGTCGAGTCCCCTCGTCTACGAAAAGATACAACTTCGTCTCTACTCGTCAAGTCTAGCAAGAGCTCGATGAGTTCGCCTTCAACAACACATCGAACCTTCTTCAACCGACTCGCCAAGTTCCTCCTTGAACTCGTCGAGTCCATCTTCATCCATTGAAGGTACTTTGTCTATGACTTACCGAGTTCTCCCTGAACTCATCGATTCTGTCTTCATGTGGTTGGGAAATTGCCTTGAACTCGCCGAGTTTTATGATTTCCAGGTCCATAATGAGCCTAGAAAACTGAGTGTTCTTCTATCTTAGCATCCGGTCCACTAACAGAAGGATTTGATGGGAAATACGACCCGACTAGTTGAGTCCCATGAACGACTTGCCAAGTCCTTCTTTGTCCCACACTATAAAGTCGATTTTAATTAGTGTTAATGCATCCAAACCATAGATCTGACCTCCTGGGGTTCATATTAGACGTAAAGTTACAATCTTTACATTCATGCATGGGCCATTTAGCTCAACAGGCTCTAAAATGGAGTCTTCAAGATGCATGGGGCTCTCATGGCAGCAAAGTTGGCACCTTTATGCCATGAGAACCCTCCTAGGTTCCAGATATGAAGTTATTTCTCTACATACTGACCCAAACCCGAAGGTAACTTAGAAATGCCCCAAAATGAAGATTGAAGCCCTAAAGAGGATCTTACAAATGGAAAGTCAAGGTTGAAGCTTTTTACCTTAAATGAGCTAGAGATGAAACACAGCCTCTGGATCTACTAGCTTGAACTTGAAGTCCCAAGCTCCTTCTTCCTTCTCAAGCTTCACAACCACCAAAAATGCACAAAAATGGCTCATGAATCACTCAAACAAGGTTAGTGTTTCAATTTAGGGTTTCTCTTAGTTGGGAAGGACCATGGGGGCTGGTTAGAGGCAGAATAAGTTGTTTAAATATGGTGCAAACCCTAAATATTAGGGTATCATCCTGACAGCTTCTACTCGTCGAGTTGGTCCCCCGACTCATCGAGTAGATCACTAAACTTCCCGATTAAAATCGAGTCTACTCGACGAGTTGGGCCTCCAACTCATCGAGTCCCAGAGCAAAACATGAAATTGATTGAATTTAAATATGTACCAGGAACTGGGTGTTACATCATTTTATCATAGTCTTCTGGAGCTTCTTTGGGGAACGCAAAGAACCGCTTTCGAAGAACGGATGCAATTTCAACATCCATTTTTCCAACCTCTTGAATGTATGAGATTAACATTCGTTTGAGATGAGCAACAACGGGTTCATCCTTGAGCAACATGTTAAGCAGTAGAATCCAATCGTATGGGTTCAGGAAAGGTAGATCAGCAAGAGTGAATTTGCATACCTGACTCGTTGAACCTCTAGCAACCTTAAAATGAGCGTTTGGGAAGCTATCAGTTTCGATTGGACCTGAAACCTTCTTGAATGTTATCTTCTTCGCACTCCAGGTTTCATACTGAGGCTTCGTGTGCTTTGAGTAGAACGAGAAGAGCAAATGGTCTGCACCGCTATCTGTCAGAGGCACATTCACAACTTTGATGAAGCTACGAAACTCAAAGGCTTTTAGAGTGATTGGAAGATCCAACTGCGAATCTTGTGAGTTCTTCAAGTCAAAAGATGCAACTGGCTCTAACAGTTACTAGATTGGAATATCTACAGCTTCACTCATAATTTGCTCCAATGTCCACAATGGACATAAAAGCTTTTGGCTTTCCAATGTGACTTGACCCTCTCGTTCAACCTTCTCTTTCTCTTCTGCTTCTCTCACAATTCAAGTGTGTTCGTCGATTTGAGCTTCACGAGCCTTCCTTCTTTTAATCTCATGCTCTTCTTCTACACTATCATCAATGATTCTTTCATCAGTGAGCTTCTCTTTACGTTTTGAATCCGAAGCTACATTATCCTTCAATTTGTTTTCTATTTTTGGCTTCACAGATGGATTTTCAGTTGGTTTTAGAGTTTTTTCTTTGATTGCTTCACCAGTTTCTCCCCTTGTTTTGGAAGTGAGCTTGACTCCGAAACACCCTCAAGCCTATTAAGCTTTGCGAACACATGCCTAAGTTTCTCAGCCAGATGCTTCTTAATAGTAATCGTGATCAGAGAGTCACGAGTCTTGATTATGTCGGAGAGTAAAGAGTTCACATCTGCAATGCAACTCTTCATAGCATCCTTTTCATATAAGAGTTCGTTGATCTGTTTCTCAACTTGTTCCAGCTTGACAGTCAGAACCTTTACCTTTTCAGTCTTGACCGTGAGTTTATCCATGATCACGTTCTCAAAGTCCAAGTCTTGATGAAGCTTGTCTATCTTTGAAGTTATGGAGGAGTTGATCTCTGAGTTGTCTGAATGGATGCAATAGTGAACCTTTTCCAGTGCATCCTTCTCAATGTGAAGTGTTGATCTAAAGCTCGAAATTACTTCATTCCAATTCGTAGTATTTGAGTAGAATGAGTTATGAAAAGTTCTCATAAAGGATCAAGTATCAATGATTAGTTTATCGACTTTTTCAGTCGTTTCCTTGAAAATAGAAGTTGAAGCCTCAACAACTTTAATGGTCATGTCAAGGTTCACAGAGTGTTCCATCGTCACTATTTCAAAGAATGCCTTGACAGTTTCCTATGAGTAGTCACTCCAAGAGGTTGATTTAGTGGACTCAATAAATGAATCTAGCTTATCAGATAATACCTTTAACTGCGCTCTGGTGATTGGAGCTTCATCATCGCTTTCTATTCGGATATCAAACATACTGAAGGTAAATCCTCCTATGTTTTTTCATCGTCACCATGAATGGTATCTCAAGATTAGAGGTGACTGGCTGCGAGACTTGGGGTTGCGAGGTTGCAGCAGTATCATCATCTTTGTTGTGAACATCTTCTTGAACTGGAATCTCCAAAACTGTATTGGACTATGAATCTTGGTGGTCACTTGGCATAGGATTTCGTGGCCTGCGAGCCACTCGCTTGACCTTCTTCTTTGGCTTTTCAGCTTGCTCATATGGTCCAAATTTTGCACCTCTTTTCTTACCGTCCTTCTTTGGTTTGTCTTCCTCTAAAAGGATCTTTCGTACTTCATCGGTCATTGGGCAAAGACTGCAGACTGGCTGACTGCGAGAGGTTCATATAAATTCAGTTACTGTTGGTATGTTGTGAAGCATTGCCTCAGGGATTCATCTGATGAATGACAATCGTAGAGTATCAGCAAAAATTATGTTGGTGGTATGAAAGATCTGAATAGCAGCCATATATGAATCTTCTAGAACCGGGATGTTAAGCCGATCAATAGCCCTTTGAACCACTATAGTCCAGAAACGAGCACATGAAATCTCAGTGTGTCGTGTAGTCAAAAGGGTACTTTAGACCAATTGAGCCCAAAGCACTTAGCCATAGTCAAGGTTGATACCTAAAAAAATATCGTACATTATTGGCATGATGAGCTTGTTGGCGCAGTCGGAACCGGTAACCCTTTTAAAGAAACTTTTGAAGATGATGGTGGACAGTCCATTCCACATCGGCAACAAATTTGGCTTCTTGAACTTGGATACAATAGTTAAAACTTCCTTGTACCCCATCTGGTAAAACATCTCCAAGATGGCAAAGTTAGAGACAGTTTCAGGGTCAACCAGGTCACGACCTTGAGGAATCCCTAGCAGGTCACGATTTCATGATTTGGGTTTTCTTGTTAAAGATCTCGTACGTAATCATCTCCTCACCTTTTTGGTAGCTAGCTGTTGAGTAGGCCTTGGACAGATGAACCAAGGGAATGATTTCCGATTTTTTCAGTGCTATCACCATTGACCAATATCGAAGACACTCAACAAGAGGTTGAATAAAACTATAATACTTGGTCGGATCAAGGTCCAGAATGAGGTTCTAGTTTGCCTTGATGTTGAGAATGGATGATTGTTCCATTTGTTCTGCAACGGAGGGGGTTTCTGATGAAGCTGCCATGGAAGCTTGATGAAGACGATGATGAACAGTAAGAGAAAAATCGTCGGGAGGATTTTGATTTCTTTTGATAGTGGTAAGTAATATTGTGTTGTCAAGATCCTTTTATATCGTATAGTAAGAGAGAGAAACTCAGCAGTTGGTTGCATCGATTAATGAAAAGTCACCTAAAAAGGTGTGAGTGACACCTGTGACATGTGTCAATCGGCATCAAATCATCGACAGTTTCAAATTTCACGCGCCCAAATCGTATCCTTTTAAAATTTCATTTCAGTTATTCCCTTTCATAACCGATTCACATATGAATTTTCACAATTAATCTCCATCAACTATTCTGCAAAACTGAAAGTAATCATGAGTACTACGAACTAGATTTTCGAAAATCACAAAGATCTTCATGTAAGAGTTTGCCAAAGATAAAGAAATAAATAAAGACTATTATATGGGATTCTAGTGATTTCTTGTTAAGACATGAAGAAGATGGATCATAGACAATGATCTCTTCATTCGGAGTCAAGAGAATCTAAAGTGTCAGTGTAGTGTCCTGTTGAATTACGTTCATCTGTTTGTTGAGAAAACAGTGAAAGGCTTCTTTTCATTAAGCTTAAAAAGTAGCTTTACCTTCAACCAAACAACAAAAGTTGACATAAGTCCGAACGTTCGGATGAAGTACTTGTCTGACGAGTGTAGTCATTAGAACAAGTACGCTTTGGAATTATTTTAAAATGACTTTGATAAGTATAGAAATCTCAAAAAAAATAAAAAATGGATCTATTGGGAAGAAACTTCTTAGGACTAGAACATTTCATTAAGATCACACAAAAAGAAAAAGAGATTTCATGGTACTGATCATGAAGGAGGACATTCGTTAATTCCTTGGTGAATAAGCTAGAACATTTAAATTGTTCACCGTTAATTCGTAAATATGTGTTGGATTCTGGGTTTCACTCAATTTGTGGAGATAACAAATTTAAGATCATAAACATAGAATTTGTTGTAACCATAAAACTCAGTGGTAATATATGAGAGTCTCAAGGGTTACATTCATGAATATGAAAGTGATGGAGACGTGGTGGGAGGTGGTTCCAAAGATATCATGTACCTCTGCTATGCGAAAGTGACTAAGCAGTCAACTCTTAACTCAATGTAGAAGAGTCAGGTAGCTCTTTACTTATGTGAATGAACAGCCTTATTGGGAAGAAATGATTGGTGTTATCGATTCATTAAGGCTTCAACATAGAGTCTTCAAGGATTTTGACTACATGCATCAGCATGCTTCTAGGACACTTAACTTGGTGCATATATTAGAAAATGTATACTTGCCCCATCTTTCATAATTGAGATCACTAAGATATTAGCCTTCAAACTTGCTCAATTATCTAATATTTTTGGTATTTTTGATTATTTTACGAAAAGAAATAAGTAACAATATATATATATATATATATATATATATATATATTTGTATTTTTGTTTTTCTGAAAAAGAAATAAAAACATAAAGAAATAAAATATTTTTGAGTTTTCGGTTTTCTGAAAAAGAAATAAAAACATAAATATGTGAAAGCAATAAAGAAAATGTACAAAGGATACATGAAGTCCCGAACCACAAATGAACAGTAGACTACAACTAACTACGAACATTCACACCAATTCAGAGTGTGAAGAGTTGGCTACGAGTCACAGTGACCATTCTCACAAATTTGTAGTGTGAACAGTGGACATCGAGTCACGACGAGCGTTCGCACCAATTCACAGTGCCACTAAAACTTTAAGATTGTGAAGGTGGTTTCGGAATAGATTCAACCTCTATCATTCCTAAGCCTTGAAGAATATGACTGATGTGTGTGTAATGCACTAGTTTTAATCCTACTCATTTAAACACAAAATAAACACATGAAAGGCAGTGTACCTATCGATTAGCAATATAGTTCAAGCAAGTAGAGTATCGAATACAGGGAACGGTAACAATTAAAATAACTACTAGAATTACCTAAATACAAGCAAATAATAAAAAGGATTTTTGTCTAGCTTTGTAAGACTAGAAACTTCAATAATAAAATTACACTTAAACAAATACAATTAACAATTAAAGAGAATAAAAGGTAACTAGATTTAATGATAAAAGAGACTTCTATTTAAATTCGACTCACTTATTCCTATGGTTGATTTGATGGCAAGTGCAATGGATTAATATATCATTAACTACTAAATTCTAATGTGATCAGGTTCATGTTCACTATTACTAATCCTTTAGCAATCAGGTTAATTCAAATAGTGGCCAATTGATTAAACTAACAAGTTTCCTAGTTTTCAGTTCGGATCAAGTAAGATTTGTAATATTAGTTAACTAAATTTGTCAATTCAATCAACTCATGTATGATTGTTCTACACACATGCTTACACATTAATTTATTTATTTTCTAGTAAAATCTAGGTTCATATTCACTAATACTAGGCATAAGTGCACATACAAATAATCAGATAGTATCGCAGGTAATCCTACAGATCTACTAGACTAGCATATCAACTGGCATACATCATTAACTCATGCCCAACATATCAATAAATACTAGGATATCAAATCCAATGGGTTGGAATTGGTTCCTTAGACGTCTTAGTATAGTGAGGATAACTCACATCACACTGCTAAAGTCCCACGGGCAAAAACCCTAGCTGATGGATAACAGATTTCCTGAACTGTCAACATCAAACAACACACAATTAATAATTGGGTTCCAATACATAATCATAAGTCCATGCTTCGGGTAAAAGACTACTTAACCCCCAACCTAGCTTGATTTAAGCCCAAGGCCCAACTCACACTCTAAAGGCCCAAAAGTCAAGTAATAGGCCAAAGCCCAACTTATGGTCCAATTTTCCAAATTAGGCCCAAACCTCTACATGGTCTTTCCTTAATGCCCATCCATTTATTCTAGTCCAAACTCTTGGTATTCCAATGGCCCAATATCTCATAATCATCAAGGCCTAGTTATGGCCCATCTATGGCCTAATTTTCCAAATTAGGCCCAAGTCCTACACATGGGCCTTATCCTAAAGCCCATTCAATTATTTTAGTCCATTTACTTGTTCTTGGATAGCCCATTAATAGCACAATCACCAAAGCCCAATAGAAAGGCCCAACTTAAGGCCCAAGTAAAATTAGGGTTTTCAAATTAAATGACGATTAGGGTTAAGTGTTCCTACTTAACGCATTAAGGACTTAATCCATTAAGTCCAACATTGCCTTAGGTAATTGCAAATGATTATTAATTAACATTTTCAGTCTAATAAATAATTCCAGTGCGGGTCCTGATCAAATCTCCAAAATTAGGGTTTTATGACATTAGGGTTTTCCAAACCCTAATTAGGGTTTCCAACCTAAATACTAGCCCATTAGTCACATCATTAGGCTTTTAGATCAATTAGCGCTTTATTGGTCCCATTAGGGTTAAACAAGTCGGGCACCACCCACTATTACCTCGGGTGGTGGTGGTCAACGATGGCTCACAGCGGCGGCCACCAC